CTTCTTGAGTTTCGTCAGGTAGGTACCTTATGTTCCACTGGGACCCAAATTAGACGTGATTCGAGAAATACACTAGTTCGCACACCGGTCTGGTTCTAACGGGAGACTCAACTGAATCCCAGGTGAATCTATCGTTTAGGATACTGCTTAAAATCACGAGTTGGATCAGACACGTTTATGTATACTTGTGCGAAGAGAAGGAAGGCGCACATGAGTCAGTGGAGTGCTGAATAGATCTGATCACTCCACAGCCAGACTGGACGGTACAACTGAAGCAGTTTTTAGGTCAACATAAGTTCATACTCTGAGCAATGAGAAATGGGTTACATAGTTGGATTGTGATAGCTTTGCGACCGATAAAAATCTGAATCGTGATGCTGTTTCAGATGTATGCGGTGTAGGACTGGTAAGGTTCATTCTTGTTTTGTGACATGAGAGATACTAATAATAATTGTTCAGCTGTAACCCCCTTCCGGTGCCTAGCTGCCATGTTACCCGAAGAAAGCACGAGGGCTACGATGCTGCCGAGTTGCCCAAGCCTAGACAGGAGAAGTCCGGATGCAGAGGTCAGGTTTGAACCACGGATCTTTCGACTCTAAATTTGCGCCTCTAACTACTGAGCCATCTCAAGCTCAAGTGACTTCTACATCATAAGTCAGTCATGTGGGAGGGTCGTCAGAAGTCATCGATGAGTACCATGACCAGAGACAGCACCATGTGTGACGTCTGTTGCATGAGAGGCTGGATCTAACGCGATCATCATCGTCATCATCACCATCATCATCAAAGACAAGAACATCAGTGTTGATATTGATGCTTCACTGCCGTAATGTAACGCGATTGCATTCAACCGCATTTCAGGGAAACTTGTGGGTGTTCGTGTATCCTGTTCAGCAACCGCATTTTCCTACGGCCAATGTTTGATAGTTTCACGAACATACGAATGAACGCATACACAATGATATGTTGGGGATTTAAGGTTTGCTTTTTGGGGTGGAAATTGTAACCTAAGCATAGTTGTGAGCAACATTATCAAATCAGTGGAGTCCTACAACTTCTTAGTGGGAATTCACTATCGATCAGCATTCTGTCAGAAAAGTGGTTAGAGCACGAATTTACTGACCGGAAGGTCCGTGGTTCGAACCCGACCTCTGTCTCTCGGCTTCCCCTGTCTAGGCTTGGGCAACCTCGCAGTATCCCATCCCTCGTGCGACCTTCGGGTGGCATGGCAGCTAGGCACCGAAAGGGTGCTACAGCTGAATGATTTTGTTTTCAGACATGTATCCGTCGTCTCTTTGTTGTGCGACCCCCAAATTGGATTTGAATCCAGGGTATTTAGGTATTCTCCTATATGTGGGTCATCAGAATGACCCATTCACACTTTTCTCGAAGTCACGGTCCACTTGGTAATCAGTATGAAAGTGGAGCCACTAATTTATGCCAGAGTATGGTCAAGATGCATTTGCCTGATCCAACTTCATGATTCTGTGAAAAGTGAAACCGTCTTGGGAGACTGAATAAACCATTCCACGTTTATTATTGCGATTTTAGATTAAGTGTAGCGTGATGCAGTGTGAATGCACTTTCGAGATACGGGATGTAAGAAGACCACCTCCATTGCACTCGGACGATATTATGATCCTAACGCTGATGATCAGAGGGGGATTTGGTAGACTAATATCCCTTGACTTATTTCCGGCTGAGCCAAGCGATTTTCACTTCACTTTTGAGGGATGGGAACATTTTATTCCGCTGACATGACTGCCCATGGATCTAAGTCATTCAGCTGAATTGCATGCACCTGAGTTTTCAGCGTGCACCACTTAATTCATACGCCATTCCATGAGTTACTGTATTATGGACGAGCCATGGTACCACCCCTGTGTATGGAAAGTTCAGTTGTCAAACTCATCATGCACACTCTAGCATGTGCATTCATGGGGCCGGCTGGTTGTTGTTTCAATGCACTTTTTTCTTCACTTTCCACCCTTACGAAGTAGTTTTGTTCCTGGTTATTTTCCGTGCAGTTCACACCGTCGTTGGGCTCGACGGGGCTCGACGGTCCAAGTGGTTAGAGCGCGAATTTACTGACCGGAAGGTCCGTGGTTCGAACCCGACCTCTGTCTCTCGGCTTCCCCTGTCTAGAAACTCATCATGCACACTCTAGCATGTGCATTCATGGGGCCGGCTGGTTGTTGTTTCAATGCACTTTTTTCTTCACTTTCCACCCTTACGAAGTAGTTTTGTTCCTGGTTATTTTCCGTGCAGTTCACACCGTCGTTGGGCTCGACGGGGCTCGACGGTCCAAGTGGTTAGAGCGCGAATTTACTGACCGGAAGGTCCGTGGTTCGAACCCGACCTCTGCCGTTCGACTTCCCCTGTCTAGACTTGGGCAACCTGGCAGTATCCCAGCCCTCGTGCTTCCTTCGGGTGGCATGGCAGTTAGGCACCGAAAGGGTGCTACAGCTGAAATAGATGGGCTCGAAGGTTTGTCGAAACACAATCCTGAAACAGTTCTGAAAGAATCTTGTCTATAGCTTAGTCCTAATTTTCTCTGCAATTAGGAAAACTTGACCTTGCCGTCTTCTGGCAGAATGAACTTACTATGCGCAATAACCCTTGGAGAATTTTTGAAAGCGGTTCCCTGAAATGCTGACCAGTGCGGCACCCCAATCCTGCCGCAGCCGAAATGTACGTCTGACATGGTGCAGTTTAGGCTTTTGGGCACTACGTGAGCCGCATGGTTTGATCGAAGAAAATACCACAATCACTGCGAGAACTCATGAACACTCATGGATTTTCCTCAGTTGGCTGGGATGGTTTTCGCCTCTCATGTAGAAGCAGATGAATGGGATAAGCGTTTACTGGACTTAGTCTCTATCGTTATGTTGCAGAATGTTTCATTCATCAGAGGTTTTTGTAACTCGTTTCCTGAATTAGCCGGTATAACTGAATGTCACAGAGTTTTTCACAGCGCTTCTTCAGCTTCCTTCGCCCATGCAGCTTTTCGGTCGGCACGGACGCTCTACTTATCTGATGTGTTAACGCCTGCCTAAACATATTTTGTTGCCCACCAACCGGGAGTCGATCAGTTTTAGCGTCTTGTCCGAAATCTATGCGTTGATATAGCCGGTTGCGCGGTTCCGCAGCATAACAAGAATCACGTTCTGTAGGACTTCACATCACAAGGTGCTTTAGTCCGAGGAGTATAGTAGATAGATGGTTCCGATGTGTGATTTACTTAGGATCCGGAAGCTTCTCATTGATCAGACAGCACGTATACATTTTGTGTGGCCTCCAAAAGGTTAGAAAAAATCAACAATGAATCAGGCTGATCAGAGGCAGCACAAGTACTTCAGGGTGAGTCACAATCACTAATTGTTCCGTACCACCAGCAGATGATGTTGATCTGAGCGACCCGCGCTTGAGATTGGCTTGCATGTGGAGGTCAGTTGCTTCTGAAACAACCTGTGATCAGCACATAACTTCAGCATAACTTCCAGTCCAAGAAGACCACCGATGGGGCGTCAGTACCACCCAGGCTAACCTGCGCGTTCTTATCTCCAACGATCACAAGAATATCTGAACTTTTAACCTGCTTTAATAGAATGCCTAAAACTATTGGAAACTCTGCAGATGCAGTGGTCAGCTAGTGGTCATCAGCAGGTTCGAGGGGCGCTTTCACAGACGCTGCCAGATGAGCCACGCATAGACATATTTAGACTAGAGGATTTTTCTGGTCGATGAATTGAAAAAATGCCAATTCCGGTACAGCCATACGTGTTGGTTTTCGGTGCTGACTGTTTTGCAAGCAGAGGTGGCAAGAAACAGACAGGGGGGTAAATTAGGTAATAATAATCGGATCTTCAAAAATCTTCAAAAATCAGTGGGTTATTTGAGTACAGTCCACTCCAGTTCTACTGTCTGCCATCCAGCTTATTCCAATTTGCGAACCTTAAGGACAGTCAGATGAACTGGAAAAATGAGGTTTAAAGACTACTACAACAAATCAGGGGGCATCAGCAGTAGTCATTTAACCGCCCTAAAAACGTTTAGCTATAACACCATTTCGGTGCCTATCTGCCATGCTACCCGAAAGAAGCACGAGGGCTGGATTTATCCAACCCCAGACAAGGGAAGTCCAGAGGTAGAGGTCGGGTTCGAAGCACGGACCTTCCGGTCAGTAAATTCGCGCTCTAACCGCTTGAGCCATCTCTCCCCCCCATCCTCCTTTGCTGGTTATTGGAGACCAGGAGGCTCAGCGCGCGCTTGGAATTCATAATTTTACTTGGGATAGACTACTGCCAGGGCATCCGAAACTGGACAGGAGGATGACTGGATTCCTCAGCCGAATCCGTTGGGTCGCGCCCTTACCCTGACACACCAGCGGTATGCGTAAGATCATCATAATCTAACTTTCAAAAAACAAGTCACTACCCCTGTTCCAGTTACCAACCTAGTGAACCAGGATACCGTAAAGTTGTCCATCAGTTCACCATCCGTGTACAAGATACTGAGTCCCACTCGGGCGCCATTAAGCGTAGGTTATGGAGGCTCACAAAGCACGGTAACATCCGGCTTCCTCGTCGCACATTACTGTCTCGTGCCTCGCTCGTCTTCTGGATCGTTGCTAACATGTTTTCTCTAAGTATACCGTAATTCAAAGAGAACCACAGTGACCATAATGATCTAGTGAAAGGCATATTGTGAAGCTTAAACAGAGATTATTTTGGAAGCCCAGTAATTATCGATCCATAGTGGTGTTGCTTCTGAACCGTTTTCCAACCTTACAACGTGTTCCTGCGTTGGTCACTGTACATGTTGTTGAGCTTGAACTCGGTTTTGCGAGATGGTGTGGCATTGTTGGTCAGGGAGTCAACTGAATAAAGCACGAATGTTCGTTTCGCATGAAATTTCATGTTTTAAGCGCGTTCTTCGTTGCTTTGTATACACAACCTTTGTGTCTAGTGCTTTCACCCTCAGCGCTGCTTTTATTGCAGGTACCAAATGTGTTTTGTGCTGGTGCCGATTTGAAGGAAAGAGCTGAAGTGCCTGATGAAAAGACTCCTGCACTTGTCGGTGGTCTTCGCTCCCTGTTTCAACGGATTTATGCCCTTCCCTTCCCGGTGGTCGCTGCTGTGGATGGATCCGCCCTCGGTGGTGGGCTTGAACTGGCACTGGCCTGTGATGTTCGGTTCGTTGGTAACTTACCACGTTCTCAGATTGGTTTGATCGAAACACAGTGGGCTCTGCTTCCTGGAGCCGGGGGATCGCAACGCCTGCCACGCCTTATAGGTGTTTCTAAGGCAAAGGAATTGATGTTCGCCGCACGTCGACTGAATCCAGTTCAAGCGGCTGAATTGGGTATTGCCAACGCTGTGGTAAATCCTGACGAAGTTCCAGACGAATGGAAGGACAAACCGGCTTTGTATCGTTCGTTGGAGTATGCAAGTGAGCTGACCAGCAAAGGTCCCATTGCTTTGCGCCAACTGAAGCGTGCTGTGAATGAAGGCTTATCATCTGGATCACTGGAACGAGGTTTGGAAGTTGAGGGTGCTTGTTACCGGATTCTAGTGCCTACGCGCGATCGGAAAGAAGGCATGAAGGCGTTTGCTGAAAAGCGAGCTCCAATTTACCATGGACACTAGGAGACTTGGTGGTGATTTCTACATGCTTTTTTCCTGATTTTTTTTACCATTCCTGTATGACAGTTCACAAAGATAAAAATGATCATCCACATGTTTCTTTTCTATTGAATTCTACATGTAAACAAGAAATGATTGATTTCCTGTTTTATTTCATACAGGTCCCGAAACCTCGGTTGTTTTGTAAAGGTTTTCCATTCTGGAAGACTTTGTTAGTCAGCCATGGAGTATGAGGCTAATCCTGACCATTCAAAGAGGTTTCTACTGATATTCGGCTTTGCCGTTGGATTGTGTACTTTTGGCTATGGTTTTTTACTCAACCGGACCGAATTATCATACACCTCGGTTAGACTTGGGAATTCCGTCTACCGGGCATCGTACGACAGACTCATAGTTTTACTTGTCGATGGTTTGGCCTTCGATTTTGTTCGGAAGGAATCCGCCACGTACACGGACAATATTGTGGGTCACATGTCCACCATCAATCAACTCCTCCGAACCCCAAACGCTAGACTTCTTCACTTCCTTGCTGACCCCCCGACAACTACCTTGCAGCGATTGAAAGGTCTTGTAACTGGAAGTATGCCCACTTTCGTCGATGCGGGTTCGAATTTTGGGAGTTCCGAGCTAAAAGAAGATAACCTGATTCATCAGTGGACTCAAGCGAGAAAGCAAATCCGATTTGTGGGTGATGACACATGGATGGGACTCTTTCCAACCAGGTTTGCCATTGCTACCTTGATTCGCTTTTCTGACCTTGCCTTAAATATTTCTTCAAGCGTACTGCTCCCTTCAGCATATCACTTGCGACCATCCTCGCCGTTGACAGAAGCCTTTCCGCACTAAATGCTTGTTAATTCGTCTTATAGCATCTTATTCCAGTAAATGACCTTTTCCTGTTGTGTAGTCTAGGTTGCTAAAATTGATAGATATTCATGCGACTTAATTTCCAACGATAGCGTTCCCATTATTCAGCATTCTTTTTGAGGTCAGCAGATATAGAATCATACATGAAGCTTCTGTATGACGTGGATGATGTGGTTCCTTCCATGACGTTACCGTTCATGGCGCACATTTAGCTTGTCATTTCCATACGTGTGTTCAAGGCGCGAATCAAATTGGGTGCAGCATAGCGTGTCGGCTACATGTCGCGTACCAGGTTACAACGGCTCCAGCCAGTAAGGGATGAAGGCTGGGGGCGGTTACATATTGTACGTTCTGGTTCGCATCAGTCCCTTGTTGTGGGACAAATCCAACAAATTTAGGATGTAAATATCCTTTATGTTATTGGCAAGGGTTGTATATAACTGCGCATTGAAGCACTTAATTGGGATTTTTGGGTGCCACTGAATACGTTACTCGATTATGCCTTGGTTGCACATGTCTAGTTCCCGGCCTCCATCTGTATGGTTGAAAGTAGCCCAGCTCCCGTTAGCTCTTGTGACAGTAAGCTGACTACACCTAATGCAACCCACTAGTGAAAGGGAGAAGGCCTTCGCTGCGGAGTTATTTATTCAGAAATGCCAACTGACCGGTTACAGACCATTGAACAGGGGAGCAAAACTCTAATCTGCATCTTAGTTACAAAAGCTGGACACAGATCTTCTCCCGAACGAGTCTTCCTAGAGATTCATTGCCACCACTCATTCGTCGGTCAAATCCAAGCAAATGTTATAAAGTGGCCCCACGAATTCCGCAATAGAATTCCCTTTTTCAATCGACGCAAAATGAAATTCTACGAACAACACATACTACTCGCGTGCCTCCCTAATCAGTAG